GAAACAGTTAGGAAAGCTTCTAAATGGAATAGTTACTAAAGGGCATATACATAGGCACATTGCTAACTTTAACTTGGACGACGTCCACGATCTCCTTTCGAAAATTGCATGTGATCAAAACGTAGAAATAAATAAACGAAATGGATTTTTTTAAGTGTTTTGCAAAGTGCTTTTAATAAAATAACAAAAATGTTGTTGGTATTATAATCCATTGTTTTGAATAACGCCAAAAACTGCTTTGCTCACTTGTTGTGGTGGCTGGGCAACTGGCTGCCGGGCAACGCGTTGCGGATTTTTCGCAGGCTTTTTTGCAGGCGCCCGCACGTTGTTCCAGGTCTGGGTGTGATGTGTATGTGAAATGGTGTGTTTGTAAACCCCCTCATGGCTTAGGAGAAAATCTTAGTGTGGGGCAACTTTTTTTTCAAAAAGCAACATTTTTGTATTCTTTCTTTCGTCGTCACGTGTGTCATGGATGTTAATCCTTTTGGAAATCCAAATGTGGTAGTTGTTAATGTATTTGGAAGGCATCCACTTCAGTTGGATTGATCGCATGAACGCATCGTCTGACTGTCCTGTCGTGACAGGATCCTAAGATATTGTTGCGCACAAAAGATATCGTATATGCATTGGGTTAGGCTATTTGGTGTTAGATAAAGATTGAAGTAATATTTAATGTTGCTTTTTATCAATTATCAGGAGTGTGCCTGGTTTGTCTGCCGGCGCGAGGAGTGAGCCATGCGGCGGGCAAGCGGTGTACAGTCACTGGATATGGATACATGGGTGAAAGTAAGTATTGTTTGACTCTTTTCACAAACTTAAAAGAATTCTATAAATTTAAGTGTTTACCTATTTAAAATTCGTTGTGTTTTCCATTTGAAAAATATTTTTACATTACATTATATTTTCACAAAATCTTTTTTCATTTTTTATGCCATAAGTCAGCAAACTATCAGTCGCATCACCTGATGGTAAGCATAAGCGCCGCTCATGGACATTCGTAATACCAAAGGACTTACTACAAGTGCGATGCCGGCTTTTTGTGGGTCATTAGGGATTTAAGGATAAGGAATTGGAAGGTTTTTTTGTATTAGACACTATTAAAACATTCTCAAACAACTTTGTTGTTACCTTTTCCAGCGGGCCCAATACCTCTGCGCGTGCGCGAAGCGGAGCTCCCAATAGTTAGCGACGCTGAATGCATTCGCAAGGTGAACGCAGTCACGGAGAAGATCTTCATTCTGCCTGCCAGCTCATTCTGTGCGGGAGGAGAACCGGGCAACGATGCCTGCCAGGTTAGTATATTAAAGGAACATTCATTTCTAGATTTCTGCTAATTTTAGTTCTATGAATCATCAACATAATAAATTCTATATGTTTTACTGATTTATTTTGTTGCGGTTATCAACACTGCAGTAGGTTCTGCAAAGCATAAAATTGCTTAAGGTTTTATTATGATACCTAACCATTTTCTACTAAGTCCCAAAATCAATTACAGTTTTGTTAGTTTCAAATAAAAAGTATTTTTTGTGAGGGTAAAATCATCAAACGACTTCTCCCGCCCAGGGCCGGGCAGGAGGGAGTGTCAGACTCTTACTGACTAAAAACGCCCCTGTTCCTTCTCCTGCTCTGGGCCGAGGTCGCGGTGCCTCATTGCGCTTACCCCGCAACCGAATAAGAAGTCTTCGTTTTCTAGGTTTTTCTTTTACTCCATTCTTAAAATTTTCATCTCTTTTCAGGGTGACGGTGGAGGTCCCTTGGTTTGCCAAGACGACGGTTTCTACGAGCTAGTCGGGCTGGTCTCCTGGGGCTTCGGATGCGGGAGACAGGACGTCCCCGGAGTCTACGTCAAAGTGTCTTCTTTCATCGGCTGGATCAACCAAATCATCTCCGTCAACAACCTATAGTACATCATTGAACAACGCTAGGTTTTCTAAATTTAGGTCCAAAAATTGAGATTTTGGATTTACATTGCCAAAATTTATGATTGGGGGCCTTATAATAAACTATTAAGTTCAATGGATAGTCACCTTAAGTGCGCCCACGCATGGTGCTCAATTCAATGTAAGTTTTATGTGAAACTTACTTGATAGTGTTGGTAAAATTAAGGGGAATGTGAATATTTTGGCGGCTTAGTCATATCTACAATTTTTATAAAAACTTTTTATAGTTTCGTCACGTGTCAATAAATGCCACTTTACATTAGAAGTCACGTCTAATATTAAATCGTAAATTCAAAGAATTGACTAAAATCTGCAAAAGACCTAATTACATTATATGTAGGTATATGAATGAATCGTTAAATAAAAAATCTCTCTCAATCTAAAAGAAGAGTTGCATAGAATAGAAGTAACTATAGTAAAATGACTGTATTTCTGCATTTAAATTAATAATAATTATGTATTATTAAATTATAATAATTTCCGCACATAGTTCTACACAGTACTGTGTTGCAATGTAAATATTTTAACGTCTTTCTTAGCTTGTAAGTTATTTATTTATTTATAGTTTTTATTTTTAAATATTTCTTTTTATACCCACCCATCTCTCTTTCAAGGTAAATACGAATTTATATTCCGAAGTTGAATTGTCTTTTTCAAATTGTATAATGATTTAAGGCTTTCTATTCTTTGATAGTTCTGAGGTACCTAACTAGAGATTTGGTATATTTTTTACTTATAATTTTATTAAAATAATATTTTCAGAGATTTTGGTTAATGATAACAGCTGTAACAGAGGATTTAAAAATGGAATTATATGAAGTTTATTAAAGTTTAATTTTGAAGTAGCTTGCTTAGCAAAAAATATTTATAAGTAATATTGTACTAGGTCTTAAAAGTTAATAAAGTTTTGTGCAATAAAATACATTGTGACATTCAAAATAGAAAGCCTTATAAAAACAGATGAAGAAAACCCATCCCAATACGTAACAGTAATTTATTCTAGTAATTAAACAGTTAATACATTAGTTTTAGTACGAAAAACCAAACAATAACTTTTATTTTATATTTTATACACACATAGATACACAACCTAGTATTTTTAGATATACATATATATAGACAAACTTGAATAGCTATCTATACCTTTACAAAATTGAGTCCTAACTTGATGAAGCAAAGGCTATTTTGAATTGTATTGTTTTACCAAAATATTCCAGATTTTTATAGTATAAGTTATTTCGTGGGCACTGACAGTATATCTATTATATTGTATACAAAAGGCTATGCTATTTAAATATGTACATTAAAAAAACGTGTTAAAAAGTTATGTTTTTCGTAAAATATCCAGCCATAATTGTCGGATTATAATTAAACTATTTATTTTTAATTCTATCCCTGATGACACCAGTTTTTAGTATTTTATATTTTAATCAATTCATTATCAATGCAATATTTTGTTTCTTATTGAATTTTAGCTATAAAATATTCCTATAAAGTCGTACACGTAATAATGATAGAGAATATTTATAACATCTAATTGGGTTTTTGTTAATAGAATTCTGGTGGAATCAGCTCTTAATGAGGTTGTAAATATTATTGAGTTATTGTTCGGATTGATTTGATGTCGCACGAATATTATACAGATTTATTTAAAAGAGTTTTCTTTTAAAAAGGGTCACATATATTGTGTTTAAAAAAATTTTATGCCCAAAGCTATTGTAGCGACAAACACTTTGTTAGCGATTTTTACCGAAAATTATTGCTTAGGATCGGGTTTAGTGAGCATCAACCATTATAATATAAACCAGATAATTTTCTAAATGTCATTGTGTCATGTCATTTATCGTGAAATGCAAATCAATCTGATTGAAGCACTCAAGTACTTGTAAATGTAAGTATTCTGTATTACAACACTAATAAATACAACGAAAATATGACGCCTTTTATTTCACCACGACCATGGCGACGTTTCGCCGTGAGCACACCTCACGGCAAGGTTACCGGAGGCCCAATCTTTCCCCTCTCTATGCCTAAGTCTCCGAAACTCTAATCTTCAAGAGGCCGGCAGGGCACTCGTAACTCCTTTCATGGGCGGCGCCAATACGGTAGTTTCCAACTAGTCAAATTCAATACTTTTATCCAAATGTCAAAAACGATACTTTTTTATGAAGTATTTATAAAAGTGAGTTATGACGTCATAGTATTTTGCGTCAAATAGCTTATTTATTTCTTAATAATTAGTTACAACATAAACTTAGTGTATCGTACTTATTGATCGATGAATAAAAGTATAGTCGTTTTTCAATATTTTATTGTATTGAAACGTCTTATTTAATGTTGACCTAGGAAACTACCCAATATCGTAAAAATCTATCTAGGGCTGTTTGAATTGCCAGTCAACCTTTAGGCGATGTATAAAAAGTATGATAAAGTTCATTATAAATGAAAAGACCAAGTCCCATAATTTAAATTTATTGCTAATTACATTGTTGCACACAACACTCATATATAATGATATGTGAACAAGCTAAATAAACTATCTAAATATATAGTACGAACATCATATAATCTTAACACGATACATATAAAAAAACTATAATTCTATAAAATACCAAAATTAAAGATATAAGTAAAATTTTAATGGAAATCTTGAATACAAATGTAAGTTTAGGGAAAAGCCTAGTCTTGTTTAGCTACTTTAGCAGCTTAAGAAGTTTTAGAAAGAACTTATAACAAGTTTAAGGAGAAAACATATTTTTATAAATCAAGTAAATGTTTTAAATAACTAATCGTCTGTTGAAATGACCACGTGATATTGGAATGGGCACTTTGATAGTTATTTCTTTTAGGGCTGATTGTTCAATAGTTAGGTAAAAGTTATCAGGGGAATAATTATGATGCTGTCGCGTCAGAATGTTTGTATAAGACAGTGACAGCAACAAATTTATTCCTCAGGCCGACAGACTATTGAAAAATCAGCCCTTAATAATGCATGTTCGAAACATTCGTCAAATAGTTCAACAGTTCGCCAACTATCAAAATACTAATTAATCAATTATTTATTAATATACATCGACAAACAAAAGCATAGACACACTGAATACAAACTTACTCCTTATAAAATTAATATTACATTAATAAAAATTCGTATTCTAATGCCAAATCGGTGAGATTTTACGCTACGAGACACAAATACGCCAGACAGTTTAGAAAAACATTCGTTTTAAGACATAAAAAACCTGATGAAACTATAAAAATAGTTGGAAAGAGGTTTTATTATGGGGGTCAAGCGTAACTAGCGCCTCTAGCGGTTCGCAATTTAGAGTTTTCATATTGAAATTGAACACAATACAAACATCTTCATACCGTTTTTAAAGTTAAGGTACTAGGCAGTATAATGGGTAGATGCGAGGTCAGTTCGCGTTTCGTTCAGCTAAAGGTTTCTTATGAGACGAGGGCGCGGGAAGTTTCGAAGGCTTTTTGCCTGACACCGAGCGTTCTGTATTTTCTTTAGCGTTTTCTTGTTGCTGTGGAAGAGAAAGAAAGAAATATGTTTTATAATTACAAAATTACTTTATGAAGACCTATGACAATGATGTGTTTACGTTGTGGGATAAGACCATACCAATATCTCAGTCAAATATTATCATTTCTAAGACAAATAAATAATTAAATGATTTTATTGTAACTTTCGTGAGACATACAAAATTAACTATTATGATTTCGGCTTACTCACGTAATTGTTTGACGAGATACTAGACCAGTTTCAAGCCATGCTAGAGGCCCATATTCTCTCCTAGAGTATTTCGTCAAACAATTACGTGAGTAAGTCGAAAAAACAATAATTAATATTTTATTGAATTCTATTTAGACACTTTCAGTCGTCATATCAAAGTTGACAGTATGCAATTGTTAAAAAATAAATAAAAAGAATATCCTTACAAATATATAGAGAAAAAATAATAATGAATTACTTACCTTCCTAAGAGTGTAGAGTATGTCAGTCTCGGACGTGCTCTTGACGAGTTTGTCCCGAGTGTCGCGCGGTTCCCGCGGCTCCGGCGGGGACGGGGCCAGGAACTGCGCGGAGTCCTCCGACGAACACTCAGAGTCACTCACTTGTCGCGTTTCATTGTCTGATTCTACTACCACGCAATCCTGTCGAATGGAGAATTATTTATCTGGATTAGTATTAATCCAAAAATTTATTTTTTATGTTATAAATTAATTTTAACAGACAGAAGAAGCAGAGAGCAGTAGAGGTAATGACTTGATTGACTGCACGATTGGTGCGGTGCACAACTGGCTGTGTCACGGGTTCGATTCCCGCATGGAACAACTCTTTGTGTGATTTACAAATTGTTGTTCCGGATCTGGGTGTCATGAAATTTTATGTTTGTAACCGTACACACGACAGGATAAAATACAAGGGTAAGGCAACGTTTTACAAAAATGCTGTGAAGATAAGAGAGCCTTACATAGCAGTATATTAGGAGTAAAATTAAAAGATATAATACGTGATCAAGGAAATAGTGGATTTTTTTAAAGAGTAGCATAAAGACTATTTGTGCCTCCACAGAACCCAGTTATAAAATTGAGGTGTAGAATTGCAAAAATGATATTAACTTACATCGTCAGAATTCTGTCGCATGGCGCGGAACCTGGCCAGCAGTCGGTCGTGTGGGGACGTGGCGGCCAGTACGCGAGGGTAGCGGTACTCCACGCGGGCCGGGGTCTTACCTGTAACATACATAAATTATTTATTATAATATTTTTACAGTACTGTTCTTCCTTGTTCAGAGAACAATAATTGAGCAATATCACAGAAACAAAACCTGTTACTTTTCACATTGAAAAAATACACAGCAGGTTTTAATCTACGTTTCTCAGTCAGCGGGTTGAGCATTATAACGCACGCATTTTAATCAGAGGAGTATTTCGACAGACAACGTAGGCTGATTTGTTTAATGTTTTGTTATACAAATAACCAAATCTATAAGCAAGTTAAGTAAGTAAAGACAGAAATGTATATAAACTTTACTCTATACTAACTTTTAAACTTTCGGGATTCATGTTTACAGCATATATAACAAACGTCCAAACTACCAAGGTATTTTTTTTTTATATTATTAACACCACACTACTATGAAAGTCTTCAAAGATAGGAATTTGAAAAGAACGATTGGACATTTTTTTGTGAAGAGAAAATCATCAAATCACTTCTCCCGCCCAGGGTAGGAGTGTCAGACTCTAGTAAGAGTCTACTTAAAACCCCCCGTTCTTTCTCCTGCTTTGGGCCGAGGTTGCGGTGCCTCATTGCTCTTACCCCGCAACCCCTTCTGAACATCAGCCCTATAGGGCCCCGTCTGTGGTGGTCGAATGGCTCTTCGAGGCGCGCGCGGAACGCTACGCGCCGTACGCTCGGGTCTGGTTTTGGTCGGGCGGCGAGCTGCCCTTACTCGCCGACCGCAGACCCGTACAAGGACATAAGGATTATAGTGAAAATGTATTTTACCAGTAGGAGAGTAGATCTTGTACTCGTGACTAAGATATCTGTCCTCAAGCTGTTGGTGCCTGGAGATAGCTTCGTAGAGGTGTTCCTGCAGCGCGGCGAGCTGGTCCCGTGCCTGCATGCACGAGGCCCCGTGCGCCCCGTGCAGCTCCTGCACGGCCGAGATCTGCTGCGACGTCGACTTACATACGTCGCGCAGTTGCTCTAGTGCTGTGCCCGTGTTCCTCTACGGAAGAAATGTTGGAAGATTAATTAAATATGCTCTTACTATAGCACAGACAGAAGACTTAGTCACTCTCCTAATCAAAGGAAACTGTTAGATGAACACTTTAAACAACTATCAATCATTTTCTACAATAAAAACAATCCAAGACCAATTATTATTATAGAAATGCCAGTGGATGCCAATGGATTACAAAAGATCCAATCTCTATGTGAATGAGCTCTTGATGTTAACAAGCAATATACAAGATCTTTCAGGAATCAGTTTTTTATCTATCCATCTAAATCTTTTACTAATATGCATTCTCCAAGGTAATAAAAAACCACAGAACAATACATTAGATATTATAAAGCTATTCTTACCTCAATCTTGCTGACAAGTTGATCAGTGATGTGCTTGGTAGTACCCAACAATTTGCGAATGGTGTCGTCCGCAGACTGAGTCAGTTGCAGGCAGGATGCCTCGTCCGCTGACACTACCTTGGATACTTCCTCCTGTCATACGAAACACAATAATATTAAAATTAAGTGAAATTATAAAACTAGCAAACAAGTACTACTTTTTTTCATGTGATGGGTCGGCAAACAGGCAGACGGATTACGTGATGGTAAGCAATCAGCGCCGCTCATGGACACCCGCAACAACAGAGGGATGCGTTGTCGACTTTTTGCGGATTAGGTATTTGGAGATTTAGGATTTAGGGGGATGTGGGAGGGTAAGGACTGGACCTCCGGTAACCTCACTCACACGGCAAAACACAACGCTGTGGTTGTTTTACGCTTGTAAGGCCATGGTTTACTAATTATTTATACAAATTTTTATAGTATGGACTGCACGGTTGGTGCATGCTATAATTTGTAGAAAAGGTTCTCAGTATTTACGACAAAACTTGTATTTCGTTAGACCCTAATATTCCTGATCAAGTAATTCATGTTAGTACAGCATTCTACAACACGTTCAGAGAGTAATACTGACCTCCACCTGCACCCTGGTCTGGTCGAGCGCCCTGAGCATCTCATTGTTGATGTGTTCTACCACTTCCACGACATTCCTGCTGAATATCTCCATGTCCACGCTGATCGCGTTAGTACCTGGTAAATGGAAAAATGTTTAAGAAATTTTAATCACATGTGCTAAGTCCATGTAAAGACATACAAAAAATCTCTAAAAAATGCAATGAGGCACCACAACCTCGGCCCAGAGCAGGAGAAGGTACAGGGGGATTTTTAGTCAGTAAGAGTCTGACACTCCCTCCCGCCCGCCCCTAGGCGGGTGAAGTCATTTGATGATTATTCCGTCACAAAAAAGCCTCTAAAAAAATCTATATCAAACAAAAATAATCCGAGACTGAAACCATTTCTTTGAATTTATGCTTTATTTCTCTCTAGCGACCCACCTTGGCTTTAAATTTATCCACTACATATTTAATGTCATATTCATATTATAAACTTTCCTCTTATAATAAATAAATAAATATCTTTATTATCTCAAAATCATTACAGTACTTATTGTAATTGAGGCAGCCCCAGTAAGTAAATAGAATATACTTGTGTTGGGGTTGTCTCGCTTCTTCCCTTTATAGTTTACAAGTAACAATAGTGAGACCTTAACAGATAGGAATTTAAAACTAATGTTCAAGGTATTTAAGAACTAATATAAAATCTAATAAGTAGGTATTTTAAAAATGATTGTAGGTACTTAAAAATAATGAAAAAATGGGTATTATTCAAAATTTACATGGAGAAAAATAAATAACATGAGACTTTAAGTAGGTTAGAGAACCTTAAACTTATAAGACAAAACTAATGGTATAATCAGAAACAATACTATTAATTTTTTACTTTTGGAGCAGCGTGTGATATGCACGATGTATGTTTTAAGTGAGTGTATGTATTGGTGTGGGTTTGAGTGTGTATGTATGTGTGTGTGTGTGTGTGTGTGTGTGTGTGTGTGTGTGTGTGTGTGTGTGTGTGTGTGTGTGTGTGTATGCGGGTGTGTGTGTGTGAATGATGACTATCATGTGTTTACTCATTTTATTGTTTTTATGATATTAGATTTTTTTAACTAATTCTAACTAATAGGTGCTCTGTTTCCTCATAACTTAGATTTTTCAGCCACTCTGTTAGTAGTTTTTTGCATTCATGTTGAACCTTAGGATAGAATTGTAGTGTGCCGTTTATCTTATTATAAATATAAGCAGATTGACATTTATATTGCCTTTTCGCAAAAACTGTGCGTACTCTTTGTGAGTGAACCACGTAATCATTACGTCTTTTATTTTTATTTGTAGGACTAAATGGAACAGTTTTGTGCAGATAGAGAATCGTGTTTAAATAATATAACTTCCTAACTGTTAATAAGCCACTAGTTTTATATAATTTATCTGTTGGATGTCTATACGGAAGAGAGTACATAACCTTTATGAGCGAACGTTGAGACCTTTCCAATTCTAAAAATTTTGTTTTTGTGGCGCCACCCCAGACAGGAATGCAATATGTGATAACTGACTGGGCCAACGCCACATATATGTTATTGAGAAGTTCAGGGGACATGACATACCGCAATGTTCTGAATACCCAACTGAATCTTCTAATACGGGTCATGACAGCTTCAATATGTGGGTGCCACGAGAGGCGTTCGTCGAGAATGATGCCCAGGTATCTAGTAGATTTTACTTGTTGGATATTCAGACAATTACATGATGATTCATCTGGTTTGACACATTCATGAAACCCGACCCTGAAATCGACTCCTGGTTTTGATTGTTGACTAGGTGAAAAACATATGTAATTAGTTTTAGTAATATTAAGGGTCAGAAGATTATTTTTTAACCAACTACCTATTACACTAAGACCTAGCTCAGCAGTACGACGTGCAGTTTCCCAGGTATCACCTGAAAAAACGACTGCGGTGTCATCCGCATAGCAGAAAATTCCACCGCCACTGCTTTCGAGATTACACAACTCATTGATGTAGACCAAAAACAGTGTCGGTCCAAGTACGCTTCCCTGCGGGACACCAAATACCACATTTTCTTGGTTACTACAGAAGTTATCAATTTTTACTTGTTGTGTCCTACACCGAAGATAACTATCAAAAAGGGAAAGAGCCCTATCTCTTATCCCAATGTTTTCGAGCCTCTGCACAAGGATGGAGACGGAAACGGTGTCAAAAGCTTTTTTTAAATCTAGGAACACTGTTATACATTTATATCCCTTGTCAACTTTATCAATAATTTCAGAGGTTAGTGCTATAACGGCATCTTGAGTAGATCGACCTTGCCTAAAGCCATATTGACTTTGTGAGAGAATATTAAATTTCTTCAAGTAATTTACAAGTCTTTTATTTAGTATCTTCTCTATGATTTTGGAAATAGATGGCAAGACCGAAATAGGTCGATAATTGTTGACATCGTCCATGTCTCCACCCTTGTGCACAGGTGTAACTAATGACCGTTTAAAAGCGTTAGGGAATATTCCCCTTTCGAAGCATAGATTTGTTAATTGACAGATAAGGGGAACTATAAAATCTCTAGATAGTTTTAGGAAATATATAGGTATGCCGTCCCAACCGGTGGCACTCCCTGAGTCGAGGGTCATAAGTATGTCATTCACTTCATTGTTGTCAGTTTCTAGTAACACGAATGAGGAAACTTGAGAGTTAGTATTAAAGTTACTGACTAATCTAGGCGGTGGACTGGATTGAGCCATAATTTCTTCTGCTAACACTTGACCAATAGTGACGAAAAACTGATTCACACGATTTAAAGAGTCGAGGGGATGTTGTGTGATTAGAAGAAGACGTGCGTTAGATACCTTGGGTTTTTTATAATGAGTTATATTATTAATTTCACGCCAAAGATTTTTAGGCTTTTTATTGAAAGTTTAATTTGATTTTTATAATATAGCCTCTTCATTTTCCTTATTAAATTAGTACAGAACGTGCGGAAACGTTTATAGGTTATTTTTAATATAACGTCATACGGGTCTTTTCTCGACTTAATCTGCATTTTGTTTCTAAGTCTGATGCATCTTAGAACCCCGATTGTTATCCAGGGTTTTGATATACGGTTGGAGCAAGGGACTGACTTGACACTGGTATTTACAGTAAGGGATGTTTTGATCAAATCTATCAGTTTGTCAGCCAGGATGTTAGGGTTTTTGTATATATTAAAGAACGATATATCTGAATTAATAAGATGTTTATAAGCATTTTCAAAGTTGATTGTGGATTTTGATTTAATATTTATTTTGGTTTGGTATGTGTGGGCTATATTTAGTAGAACTGTAGAGTGGTCCGTGACAGATGTATTCAAAATGGCCACAGATGCGCTATTTTTAGATTTATCCAGTTTAAGGAGCATATGATCTAAGCAACTTTCATATCTGGTGGGTAAACGATGTCCCGGTATAAAGCCGTGGATAGACGACATGTTTAGGTATGTTAATCTGTTATATCGTAGTTGTGACGATTCTGACGTGTTTTCAATTAGGTTTATATTAATATCTCCTGTAATGATTATATTTTTATGTGTTTGGATTTTTTGAAGATGTTGATCTAGTGAGTTAATAAATGTTTCCGCGGAGACGTTAGATGGGGACCTATAGATACCAATTATAGTGTAGTTAGATATAATTATTTGTAAAGCTGTTGCATGTGTTATGGTGATTTCAGTTACATTGGAAATATAGATGTTTTTTATGTATACTACCACGCCATCGTTTTGATTAAGTTGCCTAGATGTGGTAAATGAAGTGTAATTGCTTAAAACAGGTATGGATTTGTTAATGTTAAGTCTACACTCAGTTAGTATTAACACGTCTACACTTATTTCTAACTGGGACAAAGTTATTTGAAAATCATCGAAGTTGCTGTATATACTCCGTATATTTTGTGTCAGCACAGTTAAATTAGAATCAGTATATTGCAGAAAACTTGATAACTTATCAATGTCAACAATGGCTGAGTTCGAAATTTCAATACTGTCTAACTCTTGAAATGAACAAATGTTACTATCCATTAGTTAATAAGGTTGAAGAATAAGGGTGCTTCCCGCGGATTATATGAGTTTTAGATGTAATTAGGGCATATAACTGTAAGAAATCGAGTTGATTTTTTTGCAAGAAAGGTAGTATATGAGGAAACATTATATTAAAACCTGAGTAAGTTGAGTGTATTAGTGAATGTGTTTTTGTGTGAATGAGTGTTGAGTGAATGAGTATAACTATTTTGAGACAATTTAAGTATGATAATTTGTGAAGACTAATTAATAGTAAAATGTATGTAACAGATGTGTGGTGTGTATGCTTATAGTTGTAACAATATTTAGTTATAACAATTTTATGACTTATATACGTAAAGTAAAAACGAAAACTTAATCTTATGATATACATGAGTACTAAAAGCACTAAAACTAACTCTAATATAATAGTGCTCGCAGCCACATCTCGCTTCAGTCATGCTTGTTGTAGCAGATGATGTACTTGTGACTCACTTTTGATGACTATTGCCCGTGAATTCTCGTCTTTTTTTATTAAAACTCGTCCATGAGCAGTCCAACAAAACTTGTATTGCTTACTTCTAGACAAGTCACGAGCCAGGAAGAATAAACGGGCACCTTTGGCGGTGAGCTGCTCGGATATGAACACAGGGACCTCCGCGTTATTGTTGATTCCGAGATGTTTAGCTTGAAGTTTGGCCTTGTTCCTGATAATATAAGACTTGACTTTTTGTAATAAGTTTGTTTTTAACATAGTGGAACCTAGTTCTATAATTATAGGGGTGTTCAAGACCCCTTCTTTCTTAACCGGTAGACGAAATATATCCTTAATATCGTGTGAGTGCAAATCAAGACTGACGTACTTCGATAAGTTCAGTAGCATAGAAGTTAGGTCGTTAGTACTTTCTTTAGGCATCCTGGGTACGTTTTTCAACTCAATGCAAGTTTTTCTAGAGTACCTTTGTTGATCTTCCAACTTGTCTTCTAGTACAGCTATGTACTCCCGGTCTTTTTTACACTGCAGCTCAAGCGATTCTATTTTTTTACGAAATTCTTCGTTTTGACTTGATAAATTAAGGATGGATGACTCAATATTGTTATTTGTTAATTGTATATCCTTGAGATTCGATGCGATCATCTTTAATTCTTTTTGTTGGTTTGCCATATACGAGCTTAACATGCTCATAATTTCATCCTTAAAGTTACGGAATTCTTCTGGTAGGTCGTCTTCTCTGATTCTTTTACTACGTGTAGAAATGTAGTTAGGGGGGGTGGTGTCCAATCCCAAATTACAAATATTGCTATCAGAAAAAGATTTATCCATTTTAAGAGCGTGCGATGTACTAGGATATAATAGAAGCGAGGAGTTAATTACTCACTGAGGTGGCCGGACGAGTCAAGTTGTCAATCACTGCAAAAGAGGCGGCGCAAGCGCAGGTCAAACCAATGACTTTCTAGAGGGCGGCGCTTGACCTTGAAATAGGCGTCACTTATTCTGAGGAGGGCGGTGCATTAACTTCGTGAGTGGTTGGCGTCCTTGTAGAGATTAGCCAGTGACCAGAGCGGGCGTAAAAAGTGCGTGTGCGCTGATTCGATGAATCCGACTCAGGTACCAGGATAACAGAATAGGTGAGGGTAATATTAATCGCCGTACTCACGCGGTGTCAGTCAACGTCTGAGCAACCTCTTGCACTTTATGTAGTCCTATTATTTCACTTTATTTAATTTTAAATAAAACTTTATTTAATTTGTTTTAAAAATAAAACGGGGTCTTGTGCACGTCTACACCTTGTGGTGGTCCGGGGGGAAGAGGAGGAGGAGGTCTTCAATCACTCATCTTTATATAAACAAGCGACAAAGTCCGTTACGTTGTTTAAGATTTACGCATACATAGGGTCATAGAGGCACGGAAAAATTATGTTAATTTTTTGTATAAGACCTACCTTCTTCAAACTCCTTGCTATATTTCTTAATATCCTTGACACACTCCTCTCTGCCTTTATCATTCTCTTCTAATTCTCTTTCTGCCATCTCCATCTCTTCTTTATCCGCCTCCATTTGTATCTGCTGCCACTCTTTGTAGCGGTCCATTCTCTCTTGGAGCATTTTCTTCTGTAACTCAATCTCTGAGACTTTCTTGGCGAGTCTGTCTTCTAAAGCTTGTTTCTCTGAAGCCACGTGTCTGGCTAGTTCTTCCTCTAACAATCTTCTCTTCTCTTCCATCCACTCCTGTAGTCTTTGTTCAGTTTGTGCTCTTTCTGTCTCGATGTCTGATAGTTGCTGTGTCAGTAACTTTTCAAGGCGAACTGATTCTTCTTCCATTTCCTGTAAGGATTTGTTTTGTATGATACATTTTGGGCACTTTAAAACCAGGGTCTTCAATACCTATATTATGCCCAAAGAAGTCTGGTAAGTGGCGTTTCTATTACGAAATGTTACTTTTCGCTAGGTCGAATTGCAGTAAGTACGGAAAAGTATAACAATACAACAGAGTAGAAAAGTTTATTTGTTCGCGTAGTAAAAATAGTACAGACTAAAGCATACTTACAGCAAGACAGGCCTGCGTCCTGTTAGCCCTGCGGTGTCGCTGGGCGCGCCAGGCCTCCCTCGCGGCTCGCTCGGCCTGCGCTCGCGCCGACACGCATGTCTCCGCGCGGGAACTGAACCCACTGTGCACACGTTGCAGTGATGATACGCGGTCCGCTGCGCCCGTGTACTGTGGAGAAGGATATTATGATAGTTATAAATTGTTGATACACATCATTATGTTTTTAGTTTTTGTTATTGCATTAACTAAGAAATAAAATATACGAAGCTGCATGACTTTTTTTGTCATTAAATGACTTCCTGCCCAGGTTAAGGCGAGAGAGAGTGTCAGACTATTACTGGCTAAAAACCCCATTTTCTCTCTTGGGCTGAGGCCCCTGTGCCACATTGCGCTTATCCCGCGACCTGTGGTTTAATTCCACTGTTTAGATAGATTTGTTGTTGTACCATGAAAAAGTGTGTGTAAAGACTAACCCATTGCTGCACGAAGTTGGCGACGTTTCCCTTAACGTCGACGCTGTGTGCGTGCTGCAGCGAGGCGAGGAAGTGTTGCAGGAAGGCGGCCAGCGACTGTTGCAGCGCGTCGCGCCGCGCCGACACAGAGCCTCGCAGCTCCGACAGGTGACACGCTGTGGACGACGACAGCGCGCTCTGACTCTCTGATGTCGCTGTCTTCATCTAAACATTCAATTATGTATAAATAAATAATTACATAGCCATATATTAGTGAGCAGTTAGGCTATGATGGAGAAATTTCTTTTGTTAGTCAGTGTCCTTAACCAACGTGGACTGCTTAACTTTATTAAGGTAACTTTATACCTAAATACATTTAGTACAATTTTTTTTTGTGAAGTTAACAAAGACATTAAGGAAATATGCTAGATATTACGACTAAAATTATTATTTGAAAGTTATGAATACGAATAATTACCTCATTAACAGTCTCCATAAACATCTCCACCAAGTTTTCGAGCTGCTGTTTGTTTTGCTCCTGTGTCTGAGTACTGGATGTTGTGTATGTGTCTGAAATATAAAAATATTTTAAGTTATACAACAAAAGTATGACACAACAACATAAATTAAACGACTACATATCATCATCATCATCATCATCATCATATCAGCCACAGGACATCCACTGCTGAACATAGGCCTCCCACATTAACTTCCAGATAGGCCGGTTGGAAGCAACCTGCATCCAGGGGCTTCCTGCGACCTTAATCAGGTCGACTACATATTATGGCATGTTAACAAATTAATTCACATATTTGTCAATCAAAATGAATACAAATACAGCAAGCACAATTTATATTAAAATAGCTTGATGATGCATTCTTTTTAAAAGTATCACATATAGTATTTTGCAAGAACAAGCAAAAGTTTTAGAAATTGTAAACATTTTGGCGTAAAAAGCCTTTGAAAATTAGTATAGAACAAGAAACTAAGATAGATATCCTCAACTAACCAATAGCCGCTTGTAAATTGTTGAATACAGAGGAGACGGTGTCAGCGAAGTGTCGCACTCCAGTGCTGATACTGCCCCGTTGTTGTTCAGACTCCTCGCGGTATGTGCGCGTTATCTCCAAGTTTGTAGATTCAACATTCCTGTGAAAAGTTTATATTTGTTATGATCATATTTTTGTTAAAAATATCTATTATTGAATATAAGTGTTTTTAAAGAAATAGTTGTTTGTTTTCGAAGGCAAGTTTTGTAACAGTTAAAAAATAATTTAATGATGAGTATAAAAACATTTATGTGTTTTCAAATAGATAATTATCGGGAAATGGGTCGTCAAATAAAAAAATAATAACATCAAAAAGTTCAACTTTGTATATGTCAGAAATCTCTAGTGAAAGTTATTGTTGTTAGATAAAGTTGTTAAAAACTATATAGGTAATACCGAGTAAATCTTTAGACAAATTAAGCTAAGATATATAGTTTGTTCCATAATTAGAGATATTCATAACTACTCTTATCTTTCCGGTAAATCTCCAACAGCTCGGCTTTCAGCATAGGTTCCTCAAATATAATGTTTTTCTTTTAGCCAGTCTTGGGTTTCGTATTTTTATTTTAAATTACACATACAAAACATCACTGCAACGTTGTTTTATTTGCTCAGGGTATTTTATAAAAAAACGGTATCAGTATTTTATTTAAAACTTCGTACTCGGGCCCATCACTATGTTAAAAAATCTGGCCACATTTTTTAAATCAAATCAAATCAAATCAAATTCTTTATTTCAAATAGACCAAAAAAGGCACTTCTGAACGTCAAGCAAAGAAGATATTTTGTAGTTTGACATTTGCTGTTGTCAAATTGTTGTCTCTAATTATGGAACGGACTATAAAGTTAAGTAAAAAGGTTTGTTGGGAAAAATAGGTATAAATGTTGTGTACAGACTTCCGTTTGTCGACGGTGTCGTGCAGCGATGCGACATGCGCGGCGGCGACGTCAGCGGTGCGCAGTAGGTGGCGCGCCTGCGCCGCCAGCGCCGCCTCCGTGCTGCGGTGCGCAGACACCAGCACCTGCTGCTCCTCGCACGCCGCGCGGCTGCGGGACAACTCCTGGGGGGGGGCAGGTTATATAAGTACGTCACACTAATAGATAGCTCCAACAAGGCGGACAAACCGAACAATAATCACGATCGTTTAACAAATCTCGATGAATATTATTTCGGATAAATCGCAGTCAATATATCAATAACATTAAATATATTGAAACTATCGACATCACGGAGTCGACTGCGCACCGTCGCCGCGAAACGCACACTGTTGATGAATCAGAGTAGCGTTGTGACTTGAAACTAACAGAGCTTTTGATAGTTAATTAACGTCAGTAATTCGTTATTGTCTTACACCCGGTTTCCGAAACATTAAAATCAATTTAATCTCTTGGCAAGTCATCTGATTGGTTGACTGAATTATCAACAACCAATCAAATGATTACACAAAAGATTTGACACCTAGTTAATTAATTTTAAGATTGATCAGACTTTCGGGAACCTGGCATCAGTGTCTCACAATAATCATTATTCAAAAATATCAATAACATTATGAAAAAGACAAACTTTACTATTCATTCCAAACAATACTGTGCAAATTAATGTTTTTCTCTCATATTATGTCTATCGTAAGATTAAAAGACTATAATAAAAAATTACTCATGGCTTAAACAAGCTATCATTACACCAAATAAATAAAGAAAGCTATGAATATCCTCAAATCACAGTATTTACATAGTAATCTAACACAAACTTACTTTACTAGTAGTAGCCAACTCCTTCTTGGTATTATCAAGTTGGGATGCAGTAGTGGCCAGTTCACTATTCTTGTTCTCCAGTGTTTCATTCAGCTCTTGGAACACAGCTTCCATTTTCTCTTTCTCTTCCTCCATGGCTCTCTTTTTTAGAAGAAGTTCCTGTATCTCCTTACGCTGTTCTTCTTCTTTTAATGTCATTTCCGCGAACGTATCGCTTGCTAAGTATACACCTGGGAGAAAATTAAGGATATTAAAATGTAGTAGTTATTGAATTTTCTGAAAGACAATTACAGCGTATTTATATTATAAACTGTTGAGTTTGTTTATTTGTTTGAACGCGCTAATCTCCTATACCACTGGTTCGAATTAAATAATTTTTTTTTGTTTGTTAGTCCATTACTTTATACGTGAAAAACACGCTACGACCTGTAGGAGCCAAGCAGAGGTTGAAACCGCGCGATAATAGCTAATGTGAAAGAAAATTGGAGACGAAATAATCCTAAAACTTTGCATTTTAATTTTGTTGAATACAAAAGGTACACCTAGCTTTCATTAGTGTTACTTTCCCACACAAAAGACTAAACCAAATAACATTTTAACATTGTGTATTTTTAGAATTTGTACTTATCCCCAGCAATACACCTGTGATCTTTATGAGCCAGACACATTTCTAATTACGTAAAATGTCTATCATAAAGACACAAATACCCAAACTTACCATTCTTATCCCTAGTAGCTTGCAAATCCCTCTTGAGTCTATCAATCTCCTCAGCATACTCCTTTAAGATAGCCTTCTTGGTCATTTTCTGGTTAACTTCTGGCTTGTTCTGTATATTCTTGGCACGATGGGCATACTCCAAGGTGCTCATAGTCTCCTCCAAATCCTTGTGTCCAGGGGAGATGGTCGCGATGATGGAAGTTTTCGTGCGACCGCCCAGAGATTCTTGGAGGATACGAGTCAGTTTGGACTCCCTGTAAAATGGTACATTATGTTATATTATGTATATTTTGTTAGTAAGGTTTGTTTTTTTTTTCTGTTAACAATCGATTTTGCTAGGCGTTTTACTGTTTTTTACGAAGTTGTTTAAAACTTTAAGGGTCAAAAATCCAGGAGGGAACAACAACATACCAAAAAGGTAGGTAGGTAATTCGTTTTTGCAACTTGAGCGTATGGAATCCGCTTTAAAAACATTTATGTGGCTTTTAATGGTATTCGAAAATCCAAAATCCTTTAACACTCATTACAAGTCAAATTATACAAAGAAAAAGGTTTCGTGCATTCATACCTGTAAGGTATATGCGGATGTCTCTCCACAAGCGCAGTGATGACTCTGCCGAGGGTCAACAAAGACTGGTTGATGTTTACACACTCCCTTGCTCTTTCCTTCTTAGCAGGGTTGTCAGAACCAGCCTTGCTGATATTCTCCGATCCAGCCAAGTCCACCAGGTTGAGTTTGCCTATCTTCATCAGCTCCTCACCTTCAGGGCTGTTCTCCTTCATGTGGACTACGATTGTGAAGACTGTGTGGGAGCGACTGTGAAGGTAGAATATATGTATAAAATATTGTCTAGTATAGGTACTACTACTTTGTGAAACTTTTGAGTAGCGATTTCTAATAATATCAGGAACAGTGGCAAGAAATTTAAATAAATGGCGATGACACCGCGTACCTTATACACACAGAATTCGCGTGAATTATCTTTTAGTGTGTGGTAGGTATCAAGTAGTGAATAGACTTAGATCACAACTCGATATTACTACACTACATGACTATGCTAGTGACTTTATTTTTTACGAGCCTACATTAGGTAGGTACATAATTATTTAAAAATTCTATCATAGAACTACGATTTTCTAAATATGCATATGGTTTAAGTTTCTAACATCCAAATAATCTAGCGATACAAACAAATTTGATCATGCTTCCTCAGCATAGATTGCAGAAACCGACCCAATGTACAAAAGAAAGTGACAATCAAGGAATTTTAAATTAAAAAATAAATATAATATGAAGAAGCATAAACAAAAGATGAGACATTTATTTTGAGAACTTACAACATATTAGATTTGCCATTGGGAAGGCTGCTGCAAATTATAAATAAACATAGTACATATGATTTTTTTAATTACGAAATCATATAAAAAAAGAACCTTAAATGTTAGGATAAATAAGCTCTAGTTTGAATTGAAATAAAGATTGAAAAAATGGCAGATTTTTATTTATAATGTATTTAAGGTTGATTTTTCAATAGTCAGATAAATGTAATCTGAGGAATAAATTTCTTGCTGTCACTGTCTTATACAAACATTCTGACGCGACAGCATCATAATTATTCCCCATGTAACTTTTATCTAACCATTGAAAAATTAGCCCTTATAAGAACAAATTCTCATTTTAAGTAAGCTTACCTTGATTGAGCATTCATTAGAGTAGACGCTACTCTTTTCCTCTCCTGTCCTTGCGCCATAATCTTGTACACTTCATTCTTGTTGAATACCTATAGCAATACAAGTTAGTTGTTAAGTTAATAATTGTTATGAATTGTATGTATGATATCTATTTTGTTTATATTTGTGTAAAACATAGAACAGTTTTAATTCACATTATTGTATAGTGTACTAGCAAAAGCCAATGTCACTTTTTTTTGATATTGATGATTATGCAGACACATAGCAAAGAAAAACATTATGAGAAAACCAAATCGAAAAATAAAAATAAGTTTCAAATGGCCAATACGCCTTGAGTGAGCATGGTATTTAATGCTTAAACCTTTTTCGTATCAGAAGAGACCTTTGCTCAGGAGTGGGCACTTAAAGGCTGATAATGTTATTATACTGTTCAGCTACATATAATTATGTGTGGGCAATCACATAAACAATTATCCCTAATTATATGATAACTCACCGTAACTTCTTCCAATCCATTAACAATATTGGAACCCTTCCTTGTCACATCCTCGTATATCCTGAGCTTGGAGTTGTCTTCTGAAGTGGACAGCAGGTCAAACAGCTCCTCATTGTACAGTTCCAAGTAAGACACCCGCACTGTGTACTCCGTGTTAGTCAGACGGAGCTCGTCAAATAGCTGGGAGAGTGCTCGTGGGATTATACCGGCAAGCGGATCCTGTGCAACAATGCAATGATTTTATTAAAGATGATAACATATTTTTTTTGGATGAAAAACTGTCAGATGGATAATAAATTTACTGATTGACACCCGCAACAATGGAAGAGCTACGAGTGCGTTGCCGACCTTCTGGTGATTAGGGATTTGGAGATTTTGGGAATGGGTAGGGATTGGGTAGAGGAAGGATTGGCCTTCTCTTTATACTATGATTGGGCCTCCGGTACCTTCACTCACACGGCAAAACACAACGGTGGTTGTTTCACGCCGGTTTTCTATGAGGCCGTGGTATATCATTTCGGTCGAGCCGATACATTCGTACCGAAGCATGACTTTCCACACTCAAATCAGTTATGTTAAGTTTGTATTGCAGGTGACAATCATATTAATGACCCTTTTTTGCTAGATCCATGTCATGCCAATATGTATGTGTTTGTTCATTGTCTAAAATTCATATTTAAATATAGATGTTCTTCTTTAGGAGTATGTGGAGGAGCAGTGAGTTGAGGATGTTCAAATTATAATAGTTTTGATAATAGTAGTTACTTACATTCTGCCAATGTGTGTCAGTGCCGGTATGCTCTCCAACCATGGTGTGTGTCTTGCCCGTGCCTGTCTGGCCATACGCGAACACGGTGCAGTTGTAGCCATTGAGGACTTCCTCTATCAGAGGACTCACCACCTCTTGGTAAACTTGAAGCTGGAAGTTAGAAGTTTAGGATATAAAAATATTTCTGGGTGTGGTATTTATTTACTGGTACTTATTTCAGGGTGTAACATAAATCTAAACTACACTTATTTCAAAACCAAAGAGCCATAAAATGAAATAATAAAACGGAATTATAAATGGAGTTATAAAATGGAATATTTATTTTTGTTAAAAGGCTAGGAACTCATATGGCTATGCTATTTCGCATAGCCATATGAGTTCCGACAATCAATCCCAATGTCATTCTATTCAATAAGTTGGTGCATGTATACTTATGATATACACCAACTTATTGAATAGCATAGGTACCATTGTTTCATAGAAAAGATGTATAAAATACACAATATTTTAAAGACATACCTGACTAGCATTTGGTGCGAATGCCCGGTCAAAGGTGAACTTCTTGGTGTGAGAGGTCTGTTGTGATTGACGAACCACCACTTCTCGGTTGTTCACCACTTCTATCACACCTAAAGACTTTATGTCCCGCTCACGCTGGTTCAGAGGTCTGTAGAAACATATTATACAATTATTAATTGGTATGACAGCTACTGAATAGAATGTTCTAATAAGTCTTTTTGTTTTGCAATATCATTAAAATGTATTTATTTTTAATTTAAGAAATCACTATAACATAAGTAGTCTTAAACCTTTGTCTAGAGAAACAAAAGAAATAAAATAATGAATTTATTAATGTTAATAGGTAACAACAGAACTACTTTTGATTAAAAAAAAAACAAATAATCCTAGCTTTTGGCGGGCATTATTGACACCTGACTTCTCAACTAAACAAAAATGCAACAAAGATCACAGTCCTTTCTTAAAATCATAGGTTGACTAAACATTGTGTAGAAAAATGTCTTAAATCAGGTATTGACCAATATCAATGTTATATAAACTAAATTTAAATATTCTTTGTGTTTTATACAACCTCTTTAATAAAAAAAAGACCTACCTGAGATTGTTTATCTTTATTTTACCACCTAGATGGAATAACTATAATGGTAGACTACACTACACCCATTAAGGAATATCAGATTTAACCATTGTTACAATTACAGAGAACTATAAGTTAGCAATAGCTTCATTACTGCTGACCTATATAAATATCCACACTGTAAGCAAAATGATGGTACTGCAATTTGTTAATAAGTAAATACAATAGCATTTTGTTTTGTTAACTTTATAAATAAGTTTATTTTTTCATATTTATATTAAGGACTAAAGACAAAACTCATGACGTAGATGCAAAGTTAACTTGTGCCTTTTATTAATATGTGTATATCCTCTACTGAAATATTAATAAAATTGACATGGAGGACAGTTACTAGTATGTGATGTTGGTGTAATTAGCAGCTTTATAAGATATCAGAGCTAAGCTATGTAGCAATAAGGGAGACTGAGAGGCCTAAACTTTAGTCGAGAGTTTCCTACGGATAATGTTTGTTTGGATAACATCAGTCACCCAAATGATAAAATTACATACACATTAACGCAATTCATATTGATAATTGTGTTAAATTTATAGAATAACCAGCTTATCCATTATAAAATATCATATAATAAACCAGTGAGTCATGGCGTTTAGGGAAATATTCGTTGACCAACAATAAATTCAAAGAAATAAGTACCTTAATCGAATAAACACTTGAATGTTTTGATTCTTGTCTTTCCGAATCTTGTCGGTCGTCATCTTGATAATATACACATAAAATTATCTGCAAAAACTGTTATTTATTTCAATTAAATCACACGAAACGCATCAATGATTTGAATTTGTCAAAAATTCCGTTGAACGGTAAGCTTCAAACAAAAATTTAAAAATTCCATAGACAACATATGACAGAAACACAGTGGCCTAGCTTTTAATAACTGAACACTTGTCTTTTAGGTTACTATTTATTTATCATATTCTTTTTAGAAATGGTGATCTAAAATTGATTGTACGTTAATAAATAATTTAAGAATTAAAAATGTGTGATATTTAACAAAACAGATATCATTTTGTTTAAATATTTGAGCTAAAACATGGTATACAATTTTTAAAATATCAAAAATACCACACTGGGTTTTATAGTTTCTTTTTTGGACTTGCATCCAAAGCCAAGTGCTATAATTAAAAAAAAAAAATGGTTTCTTTTTAAGCGAATTAATAATTGGGTAGTTTCCTAGGTCAAAAATAAATTAATTAGACGTTTCAATACAATAAAATATTGAAAAATAACTATACTTTTATTCATCAATCGATCGATACATTAACTTTTAGACTTTTTTGAGCTAATTAATAAGAAATTAGTAAGCTATTTGACGCAAAAAATGCATGACGTCATAACTCAGTATTTCATACAAATTTCATCGAAAGTATCATTGTTGACGATTGGATAAAATTATTGAATTTGTCTAGTTGGAAGCTACCGTATTATGAAAGAGATGAATGGAAAATATTTCGAATACCCATCAAATTCAGGTGAGAATAAACAGAATTACGAAAATTCTTTTAAAATCGACTTGTTTTATAATGTGAGGTAGATAGATAGATAGATAGATAGATAGATAGATAACACATTTGGTGGCATAATATTATAAATTATTGTAAACAGCACGTTACTGCAGTTCTGTTACTTTGTGCTAACACATTTATTTCAGGCACAGCTGACCATAGTAGGTAATAGTGGACCAAAACCTTATAATTTGGGATGTTATTCTGTATATATTTAAATTAAAACAATAATGTGATTTGAAACTGTAAACTGTCTGTGTAAATGTGCTTTGAAAATGAGATGATCATTTTAATTGTAAAAATATAACAGCTTCGATATTTAAAACATCATTTTGATAGGAATAAGAATAAGGTTTATATCAATTGAAATATCTTGACTTAGCTCACTAGGTTGTTGACATGTGGAGTGTGGACTCGGCTATCGTTGTGCCGATAGTTGTGTCGGCAAATGGGTTAGTCCCCAAAAGCCTCGACAACCACCTTATGAGGCTGACGTTAGGCGGATGGATCAAGGGCCTCATAGGTACTCCTTGAAACGGCACGTATTGTGAGGAGGTTCCCGTCTCTGGAGCTGCTGCCGCTGCCGGCTGGCTCCTACTTTTATATTTTGAAATATTATTTTATTTTATTTTATAGTAATATTTAAAAATGTAATTTTAGAGTAATTTTAATAAATATATGGAAGGTTTATATTATGACAACTATTTATTTTCTTTCATTACCTACTTTGACGAAGCAAAATTTAAATCTGAAAGAAGGTTTTGTCTGTTTTTTGAAAAGTATTTTTTATTGTTTATAATTTATAATGCTTTATGAGGATACGCAAAGCGTTATTATGGGCAGGTAATAGCAGAGTATCTAAATAAAATTGTCTAAACGACTAATTTATTGCCTAAATAAAGGTGAAGCGTTTGTTATCTTGATCGCGCTCTTCTCCAGAACTACTGATACGATGAAAAAAGAAAACATAGAATCATAAGACATCATAATCAACGCTACGATCAATCAGAGTATTCGCAAATTAACATCATTTTACTAAAATGTTGATTATGATTGCGATTTCATCGACTACCTGTATAAACATACTTTTCAAAATTAGTAAGATGCTGATTAAAATCTACTTAAAACGAGTTCGTAGTCTACGCTTATAAGAACTTCAAGTATTTCGTAGATACTAGGTACTTATTATAAATATACCTAATATAAAAAACTTGTGTCGATTTCAATAATCGACGTGGTAAAAATTGGCAGATGTGCAGCATCATGTGGCTCTACTTTCCATAGCATTATTATTATGTAAATAGTTCGCCAATAAAAAGGTTTTATTTTCTGACCATAGTGTAAATTTTTATAGGTTTTTTAGTGGATTCCTTCGTAGTTTCGTGGAAAGTAAATGTTTATTTGAAGATAAGTGGGCAACAATATACATAACTAAGTACTTGTAGACACATCGTAAGATGATCGAATATACTAACTGTATAGCGGCAGATAGATATGTACTTACTTACCCTACTTACCCATTATAACTTACAGATCATATTTTATGGAACTATTAAAGCCGTTCCTTTAATAATTCCATAAAAAAATATACAAGAGGAAAAAATACGTGACATGATAATAATATTATCATGTAAGTAGATAAGTTGTAATTAGAATTAAGTATGGCAAATTCTTAGCTATGGAATGGTCAGAAAAAGGAAACCTATCATATGTACTAAGGTTTCTAAACCACGCAATAAGTATGTAAAATTGTATTTATTGTAACATGTAGATACTTATACGGCTACCACAACTGATTGCATACACACAATCTGTTCCCATTACAAATGGACAACCATTATACGCTACCGTTTCTTATTAGAGCTAGCATTCCTCAATCGTGTCTAATAGGAATGAGGCTTTTAAAACATTCCTATAAGTACTTTTTACATATGAACTGACAAGAACAGAAAAATAAACTGGATAAATGAGGTACGTCATTATACAGATAGTTTTTGCGTCTGGCAACACTCATTACCTACACCATTTCCTCCCGCGCTTTCTTGAAGAAAATTAAAGAGTCGCCGCATTAATTCTATCCGTATGTCGCAACGTTTTTGCGTCGGTTAGCAGCGTTATGGCGGCCCTCGTTTGCTTTTTGCCCGCGACGAGAGTTGCCGCCGAGCGCTTCCCAGACTCCGCAACGCGCAAAAAGTCGCCTCGTCGCCACCACTGGAATCTACACAAAAACATTAACCCCGCTCAATAACTGGCGACGTCGATGAAATACTATGAGTTCCTTTCAGTTTTTACCGCTCGCGAGCTTTTTCCGCGCACAATTTGCATCGGACGCACGCCGTCGGCCATTTTATAGTTTTTCCCGCGCAAACGATTCGAAATGATGGTCGCGTTCCGAAAATTGCGGTCTGATAAAAAGTTACCGATGAAATTCTTGTTTGGAGAATGGGCGTTTATGTATAATGATATTTTTTATAGCTGCTTTAACCCTAATATTATAAATATTTCATTTCGTATTTAATTTTAACGAGGTGTGTAAAAAGTGTAAAGAGTCGAGTTAATACGAGCTGTTGGCTGCTAAAGTTTTATTAATGTTTTTTCGAGAAAACTTTATTAATGTAAAGTTCTTACAATTGGGTTAGGGTCGAATTCCAATTACAAACCAATAAGATTTTCTGTAAGTATCTATCCACAACTATGACACGCACATAGCTTGATAGTTGATTGATTTCTGCCTTTCATATGTTGGTCACTGACATAAATATTGTAGCAAATTAGAAAATAGTTTATTGTACAAAGAGATAAATGTTAAATTCTAATACAGATATTTTCATTTCTTATAAGAAAAACTAAAGATACCTAACATTTTCCATTACTAGTTGGACCCAGCACCAATTAGTACCAAGTAGTACCTACATTCAAATTAGAAAAGTAAAAGCACATCAATGCGGTTTATGAGTACCTAGGTACAGCTTGGCGAGGTTTTCCTCGCATTTTCGTCATTGCCCTCCCACGGTGGTAAAATGGTGATGGGTAAGTCAAGACCACTTACTCGCGTAGAAAGCACGAGTTGGTCCACGAATCTTTGCCTAATGTATGAAAATGTTCAGTGAGCAATGTGTGGAATTAGCGGCTAGTATGTAGAGAGGCGAGAGGCCGGTCAGCGTGAGAAAATACTCATTCGAGAGTGTCTTTACTGTATTGAGGGCTAGCGAAACAGCGAGTTTATTAGCGGAGCGGGTAGCGGGAAATAAGAAAATAATTGCACAATAATGGACACTTTGTCAAGCCTGAACTATGGTGGTAAACAGAGTGACCGTAAATATACCCATGTTAGTGCTTAAATGTATGCTTCCATGTATGAAACCAGCATTTTGTTGGTCAGTAGTGACGTTAATAAACTCAATTCTAATGAGGTGATAGTGCGGATGTTAAGAAAAGTTTTAGGCATATATTCTTACGAAACTAAATATTTGTCTAAACAACAACGTGTCTAAGCTCCGAAAAGTAATTGTGAATAAATTCGAGAAATGAAAATAATTTGATGTTCTCTTCAGAAGTTGGTGTCACTGACTTCATGGCCTCACTTTTTCTGTAAATAATATCCGACCGACTCTTAAGGCAGTGTAGGTTTTTCCTTGAGCCGGTGAAAGGTTGTCGCAACACTAGATAGCTAGAAATATGTCGATATGATGATAAACTAACGGCAGCTCTGTGGGAAAACTATGGTGCCACCTTTTTGCAGGCTCAATGTGAAAAAGGCTGAATACACGACTTCCTAGAGCAATAAGACATCACGATTCAGAAATTATTATTTTTGTCTTTGGTCTTAATATTTATCAAGACAGAAATTCTATTCAATCACAGATAGATACTTACAGCTGGTACGGTAGTTAGTGTATTTAAAGACAGGTATTCAGAATAAAATGGATGCTATAAAAATAGTAGGTAATTGCACAGGGTGTAGGTAGTAAGAATATTTGTTTGTTCGCTCTGAACACAAGATCCGATGTAATGAGATGCTCTCCGGAATACTAAAAAGCGAAAAGGCACGAACAAAATTATACACACAGGCCATAAGTCCATAAGAAAATTATATTAACCCATATACCAAAGGCCTGTTAACCCGAAATATAGGATTTTTTACAACATCATCCGTATACCGTTGTTGGGTCGGCAGTTTTGTGTATTTTTTACAATTTCCAAGAATGGTCCGCTTTCGTATCTCAACCGAATTAAGCTTTTGCAAACTGATTATCATTTTTAATTTGATACCGACACGAAACATTCGATGCTGTTTTTTCTAGTGAGAAGTTTACTGAATTGTTTAGCCATTATCTACCTGTTGGATTTTTGGGGTCGATAGGCAGGCTTTTTGTGTAGTCCATCTATAAAGCTATGTATAGTATAGCATAGGTATACCTACAACTTTATACAATTTGTTTTAATAAAAAGTTAAGGTTAATATAAATAAATACGGTACCTAGTTTCTAACTAGTCAATACTTTTACTCAAATTTGAAAAACTGTAGGTACTTTTGTAAGTATGAAATGAACTCCAAATTCTGACGTCATAATATTTTTGCGTCAAATAGATTCCTTATTTAAAAAAAATATTGAACAGTTAGTGTATCGACAGATCGAGGAATAAAAGTTTAGTTATTTTTAATATTTTATTGTATTGAAACGTCGAATTCATTTATTTTAGACCTAGGAAATTACCCAATTCATCAGTTCACTTACCGTACTAAGTTTGTTCCATATTATAATCATGTTCAATTAATTATGAAGCATTCGTTTAAATAAGACTTTTTCTTTTTAAAATAATTCTACGAATTATTGAATTGGAACAATACCAGTGACTACCTACTTGGTTAGTTATCCTTATTCGAGAGAGGCATACTTACTCAAACAATTAAGCAGGAAATATACCGTTCGATAATTCAATCTCCAGGTCAAGATAAATGTGTAATACAGATTTCAAATAAAGTGTTGGAGAGCCATGCTTCAGTACGAAACAGCGGGCTCGGCCGAAGTGATACCACGGCGGCACAGAAAACCCGCGGGAAACAACGCTTAGTGTTTCTCGGTATGTAAGTGGTGTTATCGGGGGCGTAGTCCTTCCCTGCCAAATCCTTATCCTCCTAAAGGTTGGCAAGGAATTGTAACTCTTTGATGTTGCGGGTGTCCATTGTCTATGGATGGCGCTAATTGGTTATTATTAGATAAGTACGTGAATGCTTAACATACTGTATTAGGTAGGTAATTAATGTTTCCCTCTGGTAACACTATGAGATTGTTATCATTAGATACCTATGTGAATGCCAAACATACTGTAATAGGTAGGTAATGAATTTTTCCTACTGGTAACAGAACTTACGTTCTGCTTTATAGTAAAGGGCTACAAGTTGAGTGCGTTACTGACCATGAAAGGTTCCTAATGTGACATCATCATCATCATCATCATCAGCCTATAAGTGTCCATTGCTGAGCAAAGGCCTCTTCCCACACTTAATGGGTAACTTAATCATTATTTTAGGAGGACTGTCCTCCCTGGAAATTGTAGCGCAATTAAATGATTTCAAAATCTTTTTTTTAATGTGATAGGTCGGCAAACGAGCTGACGGATTACCTGATGGTAAGCAATCAGCGCCGCCCATGAACACCCGCAAGAACAGAGGAGTTACGAGTGCCTTGCCGACCTTTTGGGGATTAGGGATTTGGAGACTTAGGGAATGGGGCAGGAGAAGGATTGAGCCTTATCTCACTCACACGGCGAAACACATCGCTGTGGTTGTTTCACGCCGGTTTTCTGTGAGGCCGTGGTATGACTCCGATCGTGCCGACCCATTCGTGACGAAGCATGGCTCACTCACACTTGGAATTCAGTATGGAAATTCCTGCGTAAGGTACAAACTTATTTTTAACTTTGTAAGTGTCGTAGGTACACGTTCATTTCTTGTTTTTTATATACATAAAGTGTTTGGTTTTACGAAAAGCCTAAAGACTAATTCAGTTATAATTTAAAAAATACTTTTTTTTCAAGACACTGTATCAATTGTCCCTGCTTAATGTTGCCAGTCCTAAACCCTTCGCTTTCTTTTCCTTTCACTATTATTATCACGTTGGCTCCAATGCTCCAAACGTATTTGCATATTGTGAATTCCGTTGTTTAATGATGTGTCCCCCAGCCCTCTCGCTATGTATTATTATTTAGCTTAAAAGCATTTACAATGACTTGAATTATTTTAAGGAACCGTACGCTTTGGTATAGTTCTTAAAATTCGATTTTTGAATTTCAGAAATTAAATAAAAAACTTAAACATTATGCCAACAAGCCTACAAATAGCTTCTTTCGGAAGAAGTTTTAGTGTTGAAATATTTCGAAAAAAACTCGGAGGAAGTAAAAGATATTATATAACAAGTAGGTAAAGTAATTAATGGAACAAAATAATTGTAATCTTTTTTGCTTATGTAATTAAGCTAAATGCTAATATAGATCCTGATGATTTTAGTTTTTGACAGAAACTCTATACAAACAAAATCGAAAATCGATCTTAATCCAAAGATGTTTCAACCGGGATAAGCGCAGTAACGTACCACGGCCTCCTGGCAAGAGCAGGAGAACGAATGGGTTGCTTTTTAGTTGTCAGTAAGAGTCTGACACTCCCTCTCGCCTTACCACGAGCGAGAGAAGTCATTTGATGACTTTCCGGCCTAGGATAAAATCCTAAAGTGCTGCAACGTTTTTTTTTAATAAAACAACTTTTAACTACATCTAAATCTACCTTTTTATTTCGTCAAATCAAAATATGGGTTAAGACTTATATGTACTCGTAAGTATACAACGTAATACAGGTAGATGACGCTGATGATTCTTAAACCACCGAACATCATTCTCGGCCCGGTATGAAATCTTCAAAAATTCTCGCTCACAATTACTGAGACACGTTAATGAGCACAGTTTTTTACTGTATTTAAGTCAAAAGCCACCATTTTGCGAGTAAAGCCCTCGTATTATGTCGAAACTGAGAATTTTATAAATAACTTGCTTCCGTCCGTTTGTCCGTGTGTCCGTTGATTTACACAGCTTGCGTAGGGAAGTGCCCTCAAAATGTTATGTGCCAGGTTTTTTTTATAGTTTTTATATCGTTCGTTTTTGTATACATATATGTATAGTTCGTGGGTAAGTTAACCCTTTTAACAACTGCGGGTGAGCGGCCTGAGGCTAGTCAGTCGTGTTTGGCAAAATTCGAAAAATCAAACTTAGTTAGTTCTTTGACTAGAAGCCTGTTTCAAAAAAAGTATACGACTTGTACCTAAACGTTGTTCCCAGTTTTTCTTATTTTTCTCACTTTGTTTTTTTAATTTATATTGGAAGTATTAGACTTGCAATGCAATTCATTTCGAAATAAAATGGAATAGATTAAATCTGCCCGAAAACACGAAATTTCAGGAGTAAATTCCGAAATTTCGTGTTTTTATTGTACCTAAGTAAGTAGGTACCTACCGTACTATTACCGATAAATTTTTGGAGTGTGTGTTGTGAGTGAATGATGATTCCTGAAAATATTTTTTGATGGTTCAGTAAGTAGATAAAGTTACGTGGTAGGTTGGTATTTAGGTATGAAGTTATTTATCAAATTAATTAAACAGGGGAAGACGAAAGTATTGAATTGTATGAATATCGGAGGAACCCGGTTATCAAGCATGAGGACGCGGATTCAGAACCTGGCAAGTTCCAATATCAGTTGCCTAGTTATTTATATGGTCTTTCTAAGTTTATTTAGATACCAACGACCTACGATGAAGGACAACATCGTGAGGAAACCTAGACTTTTAATTTCTAATTACATAAAAGTTTGAAATCGCCAATCTGCCTTCAGCAAGCGTGCCGATTAATGAGAAGAGGACTTTGCTTATTAGTGGGCACTTTAAGCTCATTGTATTTAGGTATAGGTAATAAGTTCAGATGAGTGAGTTATCACTTAGTTTCTTTCAGACGTCATCTAGTTTCTTTATTTTCCATAAACTGTCTTTATCAAACTTTACTAAAGATAAAATAATGTGTATCTTGTCAACAATGACAATACCTAATACTATCCATTTGGTCACTCGTTTTTCCATAATGACAACATCGCCGGCACACCTAACATCTTCGCCTCTCACAAAATTCTTTGCATACCTCGCGCGCTTCAGTTTTCCAATGAAGGCAACCACTTATACGGGAAACTAATCAAGCTAATTGACATCTAATTAGTAAGTAGTGAACTAATCTTCCTTATTTCATTACCAGGTATGGCCAGCCTGTGGTTTTAATCACACCAGACTCGCCATGACCTAAAATTCAAAGTTAGCGCGATCGATAAGAACAAGACTGATTTAAAAAAACACAATAATGATCACCCGTCGACCCTCAAGCCGTACCCTTTCGGCCCCTTCCCCGCACACTACTACACTACGAACTTAACGCACACACGCACACAATCTGAGGCCTTTATGTTTTTTTACATAAGCCGAGGGCAAGGAAAGCGTGGGGCCACGTGGAGGGGTCGCGTGGGGTGCTGGGCGGGGCGATGCAGCTGCACCAGGGCTCCGGCGGCGGCCGCCAGTCGAGGCGCGCGCGTCATCACGACACGTCACGGCTACCCTCACAATATAATTTCACCGCCAAAATCGGAGTTCGTCACGACATAGTTCCAAGAACAAACTTTTCATAATTTCGAACTGTGATATCGAGCCTTTTTGTCATTTAAAAATAAAATGTAATTTTTTTTTTTTCGTAAAAAGTTGCCAATATTTTTGTGAAGTTTTCGAATTGGCGGGTGTCGGGTTGATGTGTGCGAGCGAGAGGTGTGATATGGAAAGCCCCGGCGAGGAAACGGGACGGGTAGTTCCTCCCGCACCGCACACCCCCGCCGCTCCTCAGCCCAACAATGGCTCCAATAAGATCATCGGACGAAATGTGAATGGGACCAGTAAGTCACGCAGAGCAATTAATTTCTTAATGTTTTGTAAAAAAAATGTGAATTTAAAACGTCGTCGGCACGTTTTATTGTATTTACGAGCTTGCATGACGTGAGCTGAATTTATATGGTAGTGCAGAAATTACTCTTAATTTTATACTTACGAATAAAAAGTTTGCGTTAACGTAAACTTTATGCGGTTTGCGTACGTAAGTGACGTATTTGTGAACACATTGAGTCTCTTGACATTTAATTTTTGTTTAATGCCCGGTTCCTATATTTAACGAATCGTCGTTGTATACGCATTACGGCCAAATGACATTACGAATAGTTATCTTGACCGTCTACTGACGGTTAAAATATTTATAGGAACACCACAGACACCATAGATCTCCATACACTTCGCTTACCGACATCCGTTAGTTGCAAACCGTCAGTAAGTTGCACGACGAGACGTTTGTTATAGGAACGGTTTTAGCTTACGAGTCGTATATAAAACTACTATTCGTAACTAAAACGGATCGTTTCTCAATAATAGGAACCGGGCATAAATGAGCTTACTACTACTTTTTCGTGTGTGTTACTGAGTAGGTATTTTTGATACGAGCTTAAAAATATCTATTAAAGCGTTCAGGAAATTTATAAGACACTCAGAGATCTTATCATAGTAAAATTTTTTAACGTTATATAAACGTAGTAAACACTAACTTGGTATATTGACACTAACAATTTATACTATACGTGAAGCCTCTAACTGCAAACAGAAAACTAAGTATTGAATGACTGTGTTATTGAACAATCAAACAATTAAAAATAGGGTTAATAGGATAACGACATTGTAAAGGCAGCTTAAAATTAAAAAAAAATTGAATTTGGAAATTTTAAGATCTATATAAACTTACATTGACTTTAAATTAGAAAAAAAAAGAATACATATAGTCTACATGAGACTGGATAACCAAATTATTATTTTTTATCATAGACCTATTAGTAGAACGTATCCTAAATAAGGTGGGGCTTATCAATAAAAAATCATCATCAACCTTTAAGTGCCCACTTCTAGGCAAAGGCCGCTTCTCACGTGGACAAGGTTTGAGCACTAATCACCACGCTTGTCGAGGATGCATCGCTATACTAAACTTGTCTACTTAGGTTTAAAATTTATTGTAAAAAAAATATAAATTATTATGTTTTCGGCTTACTCACGTAATAATTTGACGAGATACTCGTCGCGTCGCGACACGAGACTAGTTGAATGCTGCTCATGAATATGGGCCTCTAGCATGGCTTGAAACTAGTCGAGTATCTCCTCAAATTATTACGTGAGTAAGCCGAAAACATAGGTAATAATTAATTTAGAATGTCTTACGAAAGTTATAATGAAATAAATATAAGTTCAGGTTTCAAGTATATCGGCGGTGTCTAAATAAATTGAAAAAGGGCGTGTAACTATAACTCTGAATGAGTCGCATTGGTATTTTATGGGTTTGGAATCCGTCCTCGTGCAGTCTCCTCAGAGCACCATTTTTTAATTAACCACTGACTGTCACAGCCTCATATACTGGTGGACTAGGGACTTCCTTAACTTAAGAGGGTTAAAAAACATTTTCGTTTGGCAGACGGTCCGGGGATCACACTTTAAAAAGGCTATGTTTATCTCAAAATTCTGCTGTCTGATTTCTTTCAATATCAAAATTAATACCGTAATATATAACGAGAAAATATAATTAATACAATCATGATTGTCAGCCGGCCTAATTAAAACTAGTCACGAGTTCTATCACAAACTAAGTAAATACGTGTAAATAACATACATAGGTAGGTACAATCGCTCGCAGAAGTGGCCAGTTTTTCTTAGTTTCCCAGTGTGAGCCGAGTTTTTCCACAATTTCCACGCTTTTTCCTACATCCATGCAACTAGGCGTTTTTGTTGAGCCACTGTAGTAGATGTATTGTGGTACAACTAGTTTTGATACTTGTGATTTTGACAACAGTTTGGTGTAGCATTTGTTTTGTTTCTATTATTATATGGATTTTTTGTAGTAAGATACTTACTTAAATGCACTCCATGGCATTGTTGATGCAATTTATTGCCATTAAATCGATTTATAGATATATACGAGATTCAGCCTGGTTTGCGGGGCAAGCGCAATTAAGGCACCGCGGCCTCGGCTTAGGAGAAGGAACCAGGAGGGTTTTAAGTCAATAAGAGTCTGACAATCTCTCCTTCACTCTCCTCTTGCCCACCCTGGGCGGGAGAAGTTATTTGATGATTTCCCTACATACACGATAGTAAATCATTATCTTTACAATATTGTTTACGTTCTAACTGCAATTGGTACTAAATAATCTTTGTTACATTACACAGCAACCTACTACTTATGATAAAAAATTAGCAATAGACGACTAGTGGATCACCACAAGTGAACATTCCAAGACATCAAACTAGTTCTACACGCCAATTATAAAAAAGTGCCCTTAATAGGATATTTCTCGTTGAATTTTAGTAATTACAGAATAACTAAAAATACTTATCAAGTTTTTTTTAAAGTTCTTAATTAAAGAATATTTTTGATTACTTCAACTCGTTCTATTTCATAGCTATAAAAATATTTTACTCTGAAAATGGTAACAATTATAATTCTCACTCATATCTACTAAAACCAGAATTGAAAGCAATCCTAACCAATTAACTTATAGTTAGAGATTTTTGCCGCGTTGAACAAATATTTGTGAACCCGAAAATAATGGTTTTGTCCGAGTCTAACCGTAATAAATACAGATAGATGTATTTAGTACTGTAAAATAATCTTCAGGTTCGTTACCCATGATTTAGCGCTCAAAACGTGAAAGGGCTACAACTTAAAAATGAAATCGAAAATATTTATCTGATCTCATAGCTTCACTAAGAGGACTGTCCGACAAACTGTCATTTTTGATGTTTAAATCTTTACTTGACGTGCCGAACTTACTGCATCTATAATGGTCTTATTAAAATAAGTTGTTCAACACAGAACTAACAGTTTAGAATAATTTCAAATTCTTTTACAGCTGTCAAATGTGACAGTTCCATAATGACACAAAGTATTAAGACTGTTTTGTCGCGCTATACCCATCAAGAAGCGAGGCAGAGACAAAAACCTTCATCCCAAGACAAACCGACGCCAGGCTTGGCTCAGAAAAACGCAAATTACTGGCAACGGGTACCTACGATTCCCATCGCGTGCGTCTTTGAGTTACAAACCTTTTTGTCACATACTCATTGCAAATGATATTTAAAAAAGATACATTTATTGTTATGCTGTTATTTGTTTTTGATGTTTTCTTTTTTTTTGGTCGTTGTTGGTAGCATAGGTAATGACTGATGGAAAGTTAACATAGATAGGTATTAAAGAGAATTATTAGTCTTATGCATACATACTCCGTTGGGACATAGCTAAACATATGTTTAGAATTAAATATCATTTTTTTTCGACTAATTAAGTACTTATGTTTACTTTAACTTTATTTAAATATAAAGGTCGCCTTTTACTAGGTTTTTTTGGTGAGTTTACAAAAATACACATGACACCCAGACGCATTCAAGTCACAACAATTTGTGGATCACAGATTTGTTCCGAGTTGGAATCACACACGCGATACGTTTCATGGCAGTCGTTTGCCCAGCCACAGCGCCAAACGTGCAGTTACTTTAAATTTTCCTTAATTATATTTCTTTCTGGACCAATGTTACTACCCAAGAATCCATTTTCTCTGCAAATCAAAATATAAATACGAAAATACTTTTTCAGCTCCGCATAGTTTACTTACGATGCGCTAAAAAAGGACATTATGCAAAAATGGTTTCCATAAAAATGCAACTTGAATAAAAACAAATCTTGAGTGAATTTAATCCGTTCGTACTTCGTAATAAAGTATAACTATGTCTACCGTGCGCCTGAAAAACTAAGCGAAATGAAACAAAATGGTTGCCTTGGAAAAAATGCGAGAGTTGATGCCATTTTTGCGGTTCCGTAGCAACGTTTAGGTAGCTATTGATTGAAATACTATGGAATAAGATTTAAGACAGATTTTGAAATTAAATTGTTGTTCAATATTTATCACATTACACCTTATGTAGTAAAGATGAGTAGGCAAATTCATTTTATTATTATATTTTGATGATTTCAGAGTGTTTTTTTATACTTATTTAATAACAATATAAATGAAAAAATGTTTTTTAAACATTGCCGCAATCTAGGATTTTCTCATGTGTTGTGAGTGCGTTTACCTACTTACAAACATACGATTTCATATACACATTACACCCAGATCCGGAACAACAATTTGTGGATTATACAAAGAGTTGTTTCGTGCGGGAATCCAACCCGCGACACGTTGCACGGTAGCCGGTTGCCCAACTGAGCAGACAAAATGTACTTAATATTTTTTATGAAAAACTCTTCGTACACTCTTGTTTATTTCGAACTAGCGGACTCGATAATCCACTTTACTTTTCTAAAGTTTTCTATCGTAAAACCTTCTCCTAACTATACCGAGCATTACAAAGAAGAATTGGCAAAATTGGTCAAGACGTTATTGAGTTATGCGCTTACTAACACATTTCGCGATTCATTTTTATATATGTATAAAGATAAATTTTCAATCACTATTATTATAAATAGGCCATTTTAAAACATAATCATTACTGAACAATAGCCATTAAGTCAGTAAAAGTATCATATCCATCCATGTCCGCGGGCCCCTGTTAAGGCGCGGTGCAATACTTTTATTTTTAGCGAAGTTTTTTCCGCGGGCAGACGGTACGGAGCCACTCTGCCTTGCTAACTAATGTGTAAGGTTTAAGGGGAAGTTCTTACTGCTAGTTATATTTCTGAACTAAAATATTCTAAATAATATCTCATAGTAGTTTTATTTCCTGCTAATAAGTATTGATTTGGAAAACTGTGTTTTAGGGAAAAAACATTTTTTATTAATTTATGTTCCTAATTTTAGTTTACTTTTACTTGAAA